CTGTCCATACAACGGGCCCTCCCTCGCATGAGCTGTCTCCCTCCCTGCTCGTTCTGCAGATGTGCCTCACCTTCTCCTTGTCCATGGGGGGCTATCCTCCCCGCCAAGTGGCCAGCTCAGCCTCCTCTCTGTCCCCTGTTCTGCACATTCCCCTTGAGGGTGTTCTCCACTTAGTAGCTAGGGGATCTTTCTAGTGACAGCCCTCGACTTAAAGCTTGTTAGGGCACCCTGGTTCTCTGGACAGCACCTCGTCCTCCCCGGCCCATCCAGCCCTGGAGAAGGGGCTGCAGCTTCTCCTTTGCCTGCAGCAGGGGTGTAAGGACCGTGGGGCCATGGAGCGGGTTGATGGAGCTCCTACAGATGCACAGTAGCCACAAGGTAGCTGATGCCCCTGGAGGTATGTGACGGGGTAGCCCAGGGAAGGGGGTTGGCTGCCTGAGCAAAGGGTGTTATGGGAGGCACTGGAGACCCCGGTTGCCTGTGGAGGCTCAACTGACCCAGCCAGAGACAATGGGGCTGAGGCCCCTTGAGAATTGTTAATGATGGTCTTTAATGGCCCTGCCTGGGAGGGGATGACCTCACCCCGCCCTCGCCCTAATGAGAAAAGGCTGGAGTCAGAGGCAGGCGGCTCCTCCATCACTATGGGATCTGCTTGGGCTTGTCCTGTCTGAGAAATGAGGGGGCCGTGTATGTGTGTGTGTGTGCGTGTGCGTGTGAGCACGTGCACACACACTTATGACTCTGGTCCTTCACAGGGCCGGATAGAGAAGGCTCCCAGCCCGAGGGGGTAGGCCGGACCTGGACGAAAAGACTCAGGGCAGCAGTGTGGGGAGGCCTAGCTTCCTCCCTGACTCACTCTATGACCCTATCTAAGCCTCGCTTTCCCTATCTGCATGGGGTTGGAGGGAGCAGGGCCATTCAGAACCGTCTCCAGGCTTTCAGGTCTGCTGGGTATCAGGAATCAGATGGGACCGACCCCAGAAGACCTCTGGGAGGAGGTGAGAGGGCTGTGCTCCAGTGGGGTCCAGAGCAAACAGGGGAAATAGATCAATCAGGACCCAGATTACCCCTGCGCAACCCAGGCTCCAGGGACACCTGGTTCCCACATCAGGCTTTCCAGCTTCTGTTAAGAGTTTGGTGTGGGTGCCAGTGTCCCAGCCACGTCCAGACTGACATGGAAGGTGGCCTGATATAGACACGGTGTCTGGAAGCAGGTCTGAGTATGTCAGGCAGCAGGGGGGTGATAGGGGAGGGCACAGGTCCCAGCACGGGTTCTATGTTTGCATCCTGGAGAGAGGCCCTGGGGGGGAGGGGGCAGCCCCTCTCGTGAGTGCTGCCTGCCCCTCCCCCAGGCTCAGAGCAGGGCTATCCTAGGAAAATGTTCATCCCTTTTGTGGTCAACTTGTCAGAGGCCCCACAGCAGGGACTGCTCCATAGTGTGGCAAGTTCTTTCTCGTGTCCAGCCTTAGTCACTCCTGCTGTTGCACCTGATTCATTTATCAGAGGACAAGCTGAGGGCCCCATTATCCTGCCACCCAGCCTGACATCACCAAACTGCCCTCAGGCATGTTCCCACTCCTGGGGCAGCCCAGCCAACACAGGAAATGGCTACGGGATGAATGTGCCCATGAGTGAGTGGCTCAGATCTTCCTCCCATGAGAAGGCTGGGAAGTGGCTAAGACTTGGAGGGAGAGGGCTGCTCCTGGGGCCTGGGCTGAGATGGAGACAGAAACAGGAATCCAAAGGGAGGCAAAGAGGGGATCAGGAGGAGAGATGGGACTGAGAACACATGGACTAAGCAGATCCACCTCAGAGAGGGAATGTTCTAGAGCTCAGGGGACACTGGCATTAAGGGCTTCAGCCAAAGGTGGCCTGGGCCCAGCGGGGAAAGGACAGCAGAAACAGGGTAGAATAACGGAAACTCAGAGAGGACTATGAGGTGGGAACCTGGGAGCCACGGAACAGGCATGTTCCCACTCCTGGTCCATCCAGAGTAAGCATGGCCCAGCCCAGAGTCACAGAGTGAGGACCCCTAGTCCCAGCTGCCCAGCCGTGACCAGGTCCCCTGTCCCCACTGGAAAGAAGCTGAAGGAAACCCACAGCCAGGAGTGGTGCTGAGGTTTGAACTTCCTCAGATGAGGACACGGAGGGTCACTGAGGCCGCCTGTGGTCCAGGAGGTCAAGCCCCTTCATCCTCTATTTGAGGAGCCGCCTTGGGAGGCAAGGCTGCTCCCACCCTCCAGCCTGTGCTTGGGCACGCTGGTACTGCCAGGCACTCACTCGGCCTGTCAAGAGCCCAGCCCCCAGCCCGGCACCCGCGGGCTTCCCCAGCCCTGGCCAAGGGCAGCAAGAGGGAACAAAAGCCCAGTCTCTGCCTGCTCGGGCCCCCACCCCCTTGCCCGCCCCTGGCACAGAGGGACCAGGGCCCAGAGGGAGCACCCGCCTCTTTGCTGAGGCCGTGAGGAGCCCCCATCCCTCTCCTGCAGGCCTGCTGACTGCACCAGTGTTCCCCCATTCTAGAGATGGGCAAGCTGAGAGGGGCAAGGAGCTGGTAGCCACAAGTCTGGGATTAGAATCAAGGTCCCTTTGTTTGAAGCTGGACAGCCCAGCGGGGAGTCTTTGAAAAGGGGCCAAGTTGCCCTTACCCACCACCCTACCTGCGGCCAGCGCAGTGTGGTCACAGCGGAAGGGGTAAAACCAGATGAGAGGCAAAGATGAGGAAACGGAGTCAGCAGCTAGTCCCCGACGAGGGCTCACTCCATCCGGCAGAGGCAAAGGAGACATAAAGCCTTCTGGAGCCTCTGTTCCCCATTCTGGAGCTCCGTTCCACATGGAGCTATGCCCCCACGGAGGGCCTCACACCCCCAGGCCATGACCACCATCCTTCTCCAGTCCCCTTCCCTCTTTCTTGCTCCCTGCTTCCACCCAGGTCCTGGCCTGGAGCCCCCAGGGGGGCCCTGCATGGTGAGGGGGTGCTCACTGGCTCTGGAGAAGCCAGGCATGGCCCCCGGCTCTCCTCTGCAGGCCCAGACCAGGAAATGAATAGAACATGCTCCTCGTGCCCCAAACACAGAAGGCACTGGGTATCTCGTGCCATTGGTTCTGCTTCAGAGATGGAAACAGAGGCTAAGGGAGGCTTGAGGGACCTGAGGACCGCCCAGCTCCTGAGGAGCAAAGTGGGGCTGATCCGTCACCAGCCAGGTTGCAAGTCCCACTGGCTTCCCAGGGACTGTGGGGATGGGGGAGGGTGGGAGTTGGGCAGAAGGCTGAGGTGACCAATGCACAGCCCCTGTTCCACCCACAAGAGCAGCAAGAGGAAAAGGTCAGGGCCCCCAGGGCCTGGTCAGGAGTCTGAGGCCCTGGGGCAGCTCTGGCCAAGGCCCAGTGGACAGCCCTGAGCCATTCAGGGTGAGTGAGGGCTGGCTCAGTTGTATGACCTTGGTCCACAAAACCTCTCCAAGCTTCCATCTCCCATCAACCAATCAGCAAAAGCCCACGGAGAAAAGTCGCGAGGTCCCTGCCTGCAGTGTGTCAGGGCTGGGGCAATGCCACCCCTCCCTTCCTCCCCACCAGGCTGGGCCCCTCCTCCTCCTGGCTTAGCGGACTTCACACAGAACAGGTGCTAGGACGCCTCCCGCCTCTCCTCCCCACCTCCCTCCCCACTGCCAGTCCCTTATTGGACATCACACTTTGTTTTAAAGAAAAAATAATATTTATTTGCAATATAAACAAAGTCCCGTTGCTGGTTCGGGATATATATATATATATATATGTATGTGTGTGTGTATATGTAGGGTCACAAATTTTCCTTCATAAGGTCATAAAGCAAAACTGGCCACCCTCTTCGCATACTCTCACGTACACAAATCTGATGCATCTTTCTGGGGTTTTCTTTTTAAAGGTAAAAAAGAGAAAAGAACCATGTACAGCATGGAAGCTTTTTGTCAATTTCTCGACTGTGGCAAGATTTTAATCCGCTGCCTTAAAGAATCCCTGAAAACCGCCCCATGAGGTAAGACGCAGTGGGGCAGAGCTTCCTCGGCCTCGCTCTCGGGCCAAGTGCTGGCTCACTCAGGGACCCCGGCCTGACCACTCACCTTTCCCTGGGCCCCTGCGCAGTCCTGACACCTGGTGGGACTGAGGCTGGAGAAGGAACGAAACTGGAGGATAACGGAATCCGTGGCTTTGTTCTGTGGATCCTGGGGGGAGGGGGGTGGACAGAGCCCCACGCCCCTTTCTCTTGTCCATCCTTGCCCCTTCTGCCCCTGCCCTGGTATTTTCCTGGTACGAGTTTCCTGGTAGTAGAAGGCATGGGCAAGAGGAGTGCAGGGCCAGCTTCCATGGGACACGGGGGCTCCGAGTGGCAGCTGGACCGAAGCATCAGCCAGGGTAAGGGACAGAAACTAGGAGGTGGGGCTGGGCCTCGGCCACCCAGGCTCCCCCGCCCCCCGCCCGGCCTCCACTCTCAGTCACAAACAAACGGGGGGAGAGAGAGAGAGAGAGAAAGACAGAAGTAGTGGGTACATAAAGAAAGGGCCCGGGGCCCAGACCCTCCTACGGGCTGAGCCCAGAGGGCTAATGCTACTGCTTGGCATCCCCCAGAGCTCTGCCTCCAGTGGGCCCGCTGCAGGGCCTCCCATCTCCTGCCTCCGGGAGTCTGCCCAGTCTGCAGGGGCCGCTGGAGGGCCCAGAATGCAAAGGCCACCCGGTAGCCCACCCATTGTGACTTGCAGAGGTCATCATGGGCAAGTGCAGTGCCACGGGGGCTGGGCCAAGAGATGTGGACACGACTGGGGCGGGGGGGTGTTGACGCTAAGAGAGCAGCAAGCCAACCCTTCGAGAAGGGCCTGCTGCTGCAGAAATGGGAGGCTTCACACATGTGCAAAATGCATTTGGTCAAGATCAACACGGGGTTTGTCTTTTCCATTAAAAACAAAAACAAAAACAAAAATACAGTAATTGCTTTTTGAAATAGGAATAAAAACAAAACTGAAAACATGTCTCTCTCTCTCTCTCTCTCTCTCTCTCTCTCTCTCGCAGGATCAAGGAAGGGATGAAATACTGGTTTATACAATCCACTGTTGCGTAGCCTGAAAATAACACTTTTCATTAAAAAAGAAAAATCAAGAAGAGCTTGAACGCTTGCCGTGCTCCGGGGAGCTTGGATCACCTGCCAAAAGTAAAAAGTAAACTCAGGTCCGTGGATGGGTCTTTAAAAAACAGCCCAACTGGCTGGCCCATCTGCTGATGGAGTGTCCTGGGACAAGGATGAGGCCTCGCTGGCCTCCCGAGGCCATGTGTCCCAGAGCTCAGGGCCTCTCCAGAAAGTCCTGTGGAGGGAGGCCTCGCTTTGTGGTCCGCCCGCCCCGAGGCGGTGAGGGAAGCTCGGCTGCCCGCCCACCGGGGGCCTCCGGGCATTGGCCATGTCCGAGGCTGCCTGGGTTCTGGCTGGACGTAGCAGGAGTGGGCCACCCACCTCGCCCGAGGGGCTGGGGGGGGGTGGGTTGGGGAGGGGCCGGCCCCCGCCACCTGTGCCCCAGCCTCACGTGGACTCAAGGGTGTTGAGTGGGAACAGGTTGTGGTTGGTGGGTGTGGAGAAGTAGAGCTGCTCGCTGGGGGTGTGGTTGTCGCACGGGCTGCTCAGCCCCAGCGTCCGCTCGAAATCCAGCAGCTGCCCCATGAAGTTGAAGTTGGGCGAGATGTTGGACTTTTTCCTCTTGACGAAGTCGTAGGCGTCATTGAGCGACAGGTTCATCTTCTGCATCAGGTAAGCCACAGTGACCGTCACCGAGCGGCTGATCCCTGCCAAGCAGTGCACCAGGACACCACACTTCTTGGAGCGGGCCTCGTCTGCAACACACAGGCATGGGTCAGGAGGACACCTCCACCAGGGAGCCGGAGGTGGGGGGCTGGGGCACAGAGGGCAGCAGGGTCACTGGCTGGTGCTGCCCAACACTTGAGGGACCTGGTGAAGGCCCACATGGGTGGGACAGCCACTTGGGGTGGAGGTCAAGAGCATGACTGTGGAGAGGGCTCTGCCACCCGTCAGCTTCAAGTCACTGGACGTCCCTGTGCCTCAGTCTCCTCATCCATAAAATGGGCCCCCATGTTCCCAGTGCTCTTACAAGGACCTGAGCCAAGAGAGGGCTCTCCAAACCCTGGTGCCTGTGATGGCTACAGTCACGGTTTGTCCCACTGCTACAACAGCGGAGTGCCCAGCCTGCGCTGAGGGTGTCACCTGTGTCCTTTCAGGCCATCTGCACCTGAGATGGTCAGCAAATTCATTTTATAAATGAGGTTCGCAGGCACAAAGAGAGTGACAAGCCCAAGGCCACAAACAGGCTCCTCCTAACTCCTGGCACATACCACGGTCAGTCCTCGACTGGTGGCAGGGGCCAAGCTCACTCTTCTGGTGCGGCTCCCATGGGGATCCCCGGAAGGCCTCCTGGGAAACAGGCCTGAGGGGAGCTCTGGAGAGGGAATGGAGGGCCCCAGCCCTACACCCAGCTCTGCCCTGTCCCCTGCCCCTCAGCCTTACTCCTGAACAGCCAGGGATTGGGAGGAAGGCCACACCTGAGGTTTCGCCAGGGAGGCTCGCTTAGGTGAGCCCCCTCCCCCACCTCACTTACTAGACTTCCCCCAGAAGGCCCATGCACCAGTGACCTCTCCCACCACCAACAACCAGGTTCTGCCCACCCTCCCAGCTTCTCCCAGTGTCACTCTCAGTCTCCTCGGCCTGACACACAGTAGGAGCTCAATAAACACTAGCTAAGCCACTGAACAACTCAGTCCCGTAATCGCTCCTCCCCTAGGCTCTAGGGCCTCTATGCCACAGCTGTGTCAAGGATGGAGGTTAACAAGAGGCAGCTCTCTGGGGCCCTCCAGGTCCCTAGCTCTCTGATTCTGAGCCCACTGGGAGCCAGGCATACAGCTGGCACTCAATCAGTGCACTCCCACAAGATGATGCACAGGTTCTCAGGTTGTTCCGCCTCTGGTGCTCATTCCCTCTGCCCTGGCAGAGCTTCCCCTCCTCATCCCCGTGAGGGCACCCAGGGCTAAGCATGCAGTAGGCACTTAATCCAGATCCAGGAACTGCCTGGGGGCAAGAGTAGCTGGGGAAGAGAGAGAAGCTGCAACCTGGTGCAGAGTGGTACGGTCTGACCTTGAGACTTGGGGCTAATGGGGCAGTGGAGATGAGCCCCCCAATGGTGACACACCAGGATATGGGGAACGCCTGGCCCCCAAGCCCACTCCCGGGTGATCCAAAGTGAAACTGCTTCCACGGGCTTTATTTTTAGCCTTCTCAGGGTGTGGCTGAGCAGCGTGGGGCTTGGGGCTTGATCCAGTCCCAGCGAGTCCTTGGGGGGTGCTCAGGCCTCTATTCCTTCACTTGTCCCCCTCCCCCACTCCTACACCCTGTTCTGTCTCCCTCCCCAGATGCAAAAGGACCTTCAAGAAGGATAAAGGCACCCATGAGCCAGGCTCAACCCTGGGAGCCTGGGATCCCCCTTCTCTGCTCCCCTGTCTTGTTGGGGAGAAAGAGTGAACGCTCAGGCAGGACCCAGAGACCTCCTGGCCTTGTCCCTCCCTGGGCAGAGCTGGGAAGCTCCCAACAGCCCTGGTCGCAGCCCCTCCCCCAGGCCTCAGCTTCCTTCCTTCCTCCCAGCCAGGCACCTAGTTTTGGTTCCCAGTAAGCGGATGAGGCGGATGAGGCGGGGAAGCCTCCCACTTCCTGTTATTAAAGCTAGCCCGGCCCAGCTGACACCAAAACGCCCTCCACTGGACACAGCGGCCAGCGGGAGAGGACTGCCCAGGCCACCTCCTCTCTGCCACTGGAGGCTGGGAAGAAACACGGGGTCACCAGGCTCCGAGAGCCAAGGGTTTACATTCATGCTGATCTGGTAGCCCTTCCCCGCACCCCGGGTAAGAGCTGGGGCCAGGAAGATGACCTGCTAACAGCTTCCAGCTGGCCGCAGAGGAAGCAGGATGGGGAGGTCGAAGATAAGGCAGCTCATGGAGCTTGAGTCAGCCGGGGCCATCGGGGGCTGACGGTTCTAAGCGCAACAGCGGGACGTACTGCTCTGAGGGAGGCCTCCTGTACTCCCAGCAAGCCCCGCAGGCTGCCAGGAGCACCCAGGGCCCTCCCAAGTCACTCTGGCCCGCCACGCTCCAATAGCTGCCCATCTGGGGTCGGCCTTCGGCTCCAGCACCACCCTTTAGCCCCCTCAGGTACAAAATAAAGCCCAAAGAGGCACGGTGGCAGCCCCCTCCCGGAAAACACGTGTGCTGAGGCATGAGGACGAGCAGGCAAGACCTGTGGGAGGCCTGAGAGCTGTGATGCTTCAGCTGGCCGAGCCCAAAACAGCGGAGCCACAAAAACACAAACTGGACAGCAGGGTCCGTGGGTGGGGCGATGGGGGGGGCGTCCAGGACTCAGGGGACCACTTGGGTCCCAAGGGCCTCGGTGACTCACAGCAGGCATGGGTTCGGCCACGGGCACATGCCAGCACAAGCAGGGCACGCACAGGCTTCGACAGGCCCAGAGGTACCCAGCCAGGCGCCAGTGACACCCAAGTCCCATACACACCTCGACACAGCTGCCCACCCACCCCGCCCAGAGCGCAGCAGCACCTACCAATGAAGCTGATGGCCTCGGGGAAGAACTGGGAGAGGTTCTGGCTCCAGTGGTCCGAGATGGGGATCTGCTTGTAGGTGAACTCGCCACCATGCTCAAAGGCGTTGGGCAGGTTAGGCGTGACATTGAGGATATACTTGATGCCGTACTTGCCGAGCACGTCCAGGTTAGTGGAGTCCTTGGCGCAGCCAAGGTAGAGGTAGGGCAGGATCTGGACGGGGAAGGCTGGTTGGCTGGATGGCACAGGGCTACCGTCCGACTCCGTGGCACTGCTGGGCAGCTCTCGGTCGGACTCCCCGTCTGAGCAGTCAGAGCTGATCCGTAGGCCCCCCAGGCCCAGCACGGAGGTGGGTGGTGAGCCACTGGGTGAGGATGAGCTGTCCACGTTGGTCTCGCAGTGCTCTGAATACTCCGTCTGGAACTTGTTGAAACCACCTGTGGCCAGGGTAAGAGGGCCTGGGTGAGAGACTGCCCATGCCACCGGAATGCCCCCAGACCAGTGGGCTGCCCACATCAAGCACTTTAACACCGACAACAGCCAACGTGGGCCCTGCCAACTGGGTTACACGTGTACCTGCTCCTGTGTTCTCTACATCCAGCTTATGACCCCCGACAGAATGGGAAACTGAGGCCCCAGGAGGTGAAGTAACATGCCTGAGTGCCATATCCTGAACCATTAGGCTTCAGGGCCCCAGCTCATTTCTCTTCCACAGCACCCAGGCACACCTGGCACCCATGGGTGCTGAGTAACGGCTCAGTAGTAAAGAAGACAACCCCGTCTCCGGCCAGCACCTGTGGGTGTGCAAACCCCTCTTACAGAGGGGACTGCAGGGGCCAGAGCTATGTCTAGGTCAGTGAGAGGCACAGAGGTCCTGGGCCTCCTGCCTGGGAGTCCCGTCCCTGCCCCCCACCCCAACCACAGTCAGGGAGGACAGTGTGAAAGTACTGGCTGGCCCTTCCCTCCCGCAGTGGCAAGTTCATAAAAGTGGTCCCAATCCACCTCTCCCCAGCTTAGATCTCAAGGACCCCAGTTTTGGAAACACAGGAGGAGGGCTGCTGGGGCTTTACAGAGACAAGAAATGGGGAGCGCCTTGCAGCTAGGCATGGGCCCTGCGCCCGAGGGTGCCGCAGGCTTCCCCTCCCCTCCCTGCCTGCACGCCTGCTGCCAGCGAGAGGCCATTTTGGAATGTTAATTGGAAACACCGGCTGCAGCCACTCGCCCCCCAGCTGCCTCCCCCTTCCACAAGCTCTAGGGTAGTAGGCTGGGGACTTGGGGGTCCCAGACAGCCATGGCAGGGGACCCTGGTTACAGTTCTGCCCCAAGTGTCTCCAAGAGGCTGTGATCCCCAAGCAGTGAGCCCAAAGCCCAGATGCCCAAAGTTCCCCAACCCAAACGGTCCCTATACCATAGGGGCGGGGATAATGCTGCCAAAGGTTCCTATATCCTGACTCTGGTCTCCTAGGGACATGCATTCTAGACTGGAGCAGCAGGACCTGGTGTCCTGTCGCCTTTGGGGGTCCCAGGAGGCGGCCCCTTCCTCCTCTGAGGGGCTCAGCAGGAGACTAGGCGCTGCCATGGCCCCACAACAGGAGAGGGGGGAAAAAAAAAAAAGGAAAGCCCAGGTTGGCAAAAGTTTCTTCAGCCCACTCGAATTGTGTCGAGGACGGGGTGCAGAAGGGACCCTCGCGCCAGCCTAAACCCTCACCATGGGGGCCGAGCTCCCGTTAGAGGCAGATGCGAGCCGGGGGCGACGTGGCGCCGGCCGGGCAGGCGGAGCGCATGGAGAGAAAGCAGCCTCCGGCGGAGGCGTCAGGGAGCCGCGGGAGAGCCTGAATCCCGGACGGGGGTCTCAGTGCTGCCCTCACCTTGGAGGTAGTAGGCCTGGCAGCCGTCGTCGCGCAGCTTTTGCAGGAGCAGGCCAAGCACCGAGGCGGGAGCGCCGGTCTCTGGCTGCCACTCGGCCGTGGCCTCGTCGTAGAGCAGCACGGTGGCCGCCTTACAGCGCGTGGCGAAGCGCTCCTTATCGGCGTGGTTGGGGATGATGGAGCGGATGGGGAGGTTGCCCTTGCGCAGACGGCGCAGCATGAGGCCCGGAATGGCCAGGTTGATGGCCGTCTCGATGTGCGACGACTCGAAGAGCTCGTGCGGCCGGCAGTCGAGCAGCAGTAGGGACGCGCCGCCGCGCGCCTCCAGCTCCTCCTGCAGCCACTCGGCGCTCTTGCAGGGCATGGCCCCCGCACCCGTCGCCGCTCCCGCGCCGGTGCTAGCGCCGGACCCTGACCCCGCACCGGGCTCCGACCCCGCACCGGTGTCCCCAGCAGCCGACGCCCCCGAGGCCGACATGTGCGCCCGCGCTGGGGGGCCGCGGAGCTGGTTTTTCATGGGGAGCGCGGGCGGCCCGGGGCAGGGGCCGGGCAGCCCTGCCCTGGGACGGCGCCCCGGCCGCGCGGGCCCCAGCCGCGTCTCCGGGCGCCCGCCTCCCGCCGAGCTGCGCGCCCGCCGCCCCGGCCTCCCGGCCTCCGTCCCGCCCGGCCCTCCGCGCGCGCCGCGGCCTGACAGCCCCAATTAAACGGGCGCCCGCGCGGGCGCGCGGAGGCGCCCCCGGGGGGGGGGGGGCGGGGCCGCGGGGCCGGCGCCCGAGCTTAAAGGCGCCGCGCCTCCGCCGCCCCTCCCCACAGAGTACGCGAGCGCGCTCGCGGCCCCGTGCACCCTGAGACCTGCGCCCGCCCGGGCCCTCGCCCCACCTCAACCCGGACCTGGCTAGGACCCGCCTGGGGTGCCCGGCCAAGACCCTTCCTCTATGCCCGCGCTCTCAGCGCTTCCGAGTCCTACCGTGAAGGGCTGCCCTAGGGACGTCCTGCGCCTCGCATCCCCTCCCCACTTTTCCCTGAAGCAGAGCCTCCCCAGGGATAGGGCGGTGGGTGGGGGCGGTCACGCTGAGGCAACATCCCCCTCCTCCTGTCTGTCAACCCCATTCATTCATTTTCTCAACGAGTTCATTCAACAAATGGAAACTGAACGCCTACTACGTGCCAGGCACTGTACTTAGGATAAGGTCACCGTTTCAGGCGACCGACTGGTCCCTAGGATGGCCACAGGCTCCGAGACCTGAAAGGGGGTCCCACCCCAGCAGGCCTGATGGGGAATCAGCGAACAGGGGACTAGAGGACTAGGAGGACCCAGGGCCGCCCCACACTCCGCAGGCAGGAGCGGAAAAATCCTGGAAAGGGCCAGCCCCAAGAAGACAGAGCTAGCCCTTTAAGAAAGCTTTACAAGCTGGGAGGTGACAGGCTCGGAGTGAAGCGCCACGTGACTTTCTCTCGGAGGGGTGGGTGGGCGGGGAGCTCTCCTTTATCAACCTCTCTCCTCGCCAACCTCCTTCCCAGTGCGCCAACCAACTTTCGCGGTAGGCGGGAGCGCGTCGCGCAGATGGCCAATCGTGACTGAAGGAGACGGTTGGGAGGGAGGCGCGGCTCGTCACCCGTTCCACCCTGCGCGGGGAAGTGGGCGGGGTCTCCGCGAGCGCGGTGTGCCGGCTCGCAGGCGGGCGGGGCGGAGGAGGTGAATGGAACCGCAGGTAGCGCAGGAACAAAGCGGCTTGACTGGAGCGAAGCGCGTGCGCACGGAGTGCAGCTCTTTCCCTACGGAACCAGGGTCGTCTGCCCAGGAAGGGAGCTAACGGCCGGGCCCTGCGGTCCGCCCGGTCCGTTCCCAGCGGGCGGAGTGCCTCCACTTCCTCAGGGTTTCCATCTCCCACTCTGCCCCAGGCTGGTTAGCACACATCCACCTTGCCTGGACAGAGCCCAGCGGGCCCGTCACAAATCTATCCAGCGATGAGGGCACTTCTCTGAGGTCAGACCCTCGACTGGCAGTCGCGTGCTGGTTGTCAGGGACGGCGGCAGCACTGGAAAAGGAAGCCTAAGCAGACCCAGGAGGGGACCTGCTGGCTGATGAATCATTCCTCAGCGGGCTTGTTGAGGGCTGGCTGGAGCTTCGGGGACAGCAGTGCCTGGTGAATTGGTTACTGCTCTCACTAGTGGGAAATGGGAGCCTCCGCTGTGTCCCCGCAGTCCCTGTCTCCCTGGACAGAGGAGGGAGGCCGTTCCACCCCTCCCATTAGCTCGTGATGGCTCCCTTGTCTCCCCTTCAGGACTCCTCCAGGAGAACCTTACAGGCTGGAGGAGAGACCTGTGAGGATGTGAGGAAATGGAGAAACTTCCCGGGAGGTGGGTGCATCCTCCAGCACGGAGGAAGAGGCAGGGTTCAGATGCATCCAGGAGGAGGGAGGCACCTGAGGAGAAGGTGACAGTGAAGCAAAGGAGTGGAAGAGAACTAGCCTGGCTGTAGGAGCTGCCTGCGGGGGCCCTGGGCCCCCATCTCTCAGCTTGGAGGCATAGCCCAAAGCCTTGGTTCTTGGGTGGAAGCCCCGCCTCCAGTCTTGAACAGCTAGACACAAGGCATAAATGGATCATATCCGGGATGCCCTGGGTGCATATGCATGAGTGTGCACGTGCATGCAAGGGGGGACACAGAACCCTCTGACTTACAGAGCACAGCAGGAACTCACCCGTGGTCAGACAGCAGGAGGCCAGGACCACCTCTGCCCAGGACCTTGCCCTACAACGGTGAGTCTCCCTCCAGAATGCTGGGAGAGATACCTGGAAGAGGGAGCCCTGTGCCCTGAGCAAGGTCCTGGGATCAAAGACATTCCTCCTCTTCAGGAATGTGGCCTTTCCTGCCCTTCAGGGTTCAGGCCCTCCCCCATCTGCAGCCCCCAGGAGAGGTGCCCCACCTCCCCCCCTACCCCCTCATCAGGGTTTCCCTGAGGGGGCAGGGTGGGGACCCCCAGAATAGGTCCGGGTCCCTGGGGGTAAGCTGGAGGTGGAGTATGGGTGGGCTGTCTCAGGGCTGTCCCTTTCTCCCACACACCTTCAGGCCTTTGTACACCCTACCCCCATGGCCTGGACATTTTTTGGCTTCACCGTTTGCCAGCCTTCCAGAAGATCCCAGTTCGGTGTCACCCTCAGGGAGGCCTCCTCTGCTAGAATATACCCCTGCTCCATGCCCCTGGGACCCTTGCCCCCAATTTTGCACTGGAATTATCACTGTCGTTGTCCAGCAACCCCACCAGACTTTCTCCCTTTGGATACCCAATGGCATGTCTACCTCCCCAAGTCTCATCCCTTTTCCCCCAAGTGCTAGGCCTGAACCCATGAGGCGTGTTTGATGCTACCTTCCCTATCTGCTCATATCCAGCCCCAGAACCGAGCAGTGAAGGGCACTTCCAGCACGACAAGGCTTGGCTATGATAGTGGGATGTTTGATGTGAACTAAGCCAGATGTGAGCTGGTGTGCAGCCCCCCTGCCGTCCACCCCTCCCCCATCCACGTGGCTTGGTGACCCAGGAACTGTGTCGCCAAGAATAATTTAAGCATTGGGGCGCCTGGGTGGCTCTGTCAGTTTAGCTTCTGTCTTGGGCTCAGGTCAGAATCCCAGGGCTCTGCTCAGTGGGGAGCCTGCTCCTCCCTTTCCCTCTGCCCCTCCCCTCTGCTCATGGGTGCACAGTCTCTCTCTATCTTGCTCTCTCTCTCAAATAAAATATTTTTAAAAGTAAGAATAATTTAAGCATCTTGGAAGCAGACTTTCCTTTTCCTACCACTGTCCATGGATTTCTTAGAGATGGGCAAACATGTTTTGAACAGCACATGCCAGAGGGAGAGGAGGGGAGGAGAGTCTGTTCCTCCTATCCTTAGGAAACTAACACAAATTTCAGGTGAGCTCCTGCTGCTTGCAGGAGGGCAGTTTGCAACGGTGATCGATTTCACACCCTGCCATGAGAGCTGAGCAGGGGCTGGGGAGAGTTCCGGCGACTCCAGCCCATCTGTGTCTGAGACCCAGACTGGGGGTCACTATGCTTGTCCCAGAACCGTGGGACAGCTTCTTCCCCATCCCCCAGTGAGGTGCCTGCCTGGGTTGCCGTCAGAACAGGTCATGTCTAAACCAGGCCAGAAGTGAACTGTGAAAGGCCTGGCAACTCTCCTGCCCTGGGCAGAGCTCTGGCTGTGCACGCCTGAGCTTGTACATGCACATGCACTCAGGTAAAGACACACACAATACAGGCCCAAACACACAAACCTACCCTGTATCCACATATGCTCACAGGCAGAAATATGGGTGTGTGCAGAAATACACAACATGCATGTGCGCACACACTCTCCGTTAGCTACACACATACACAGACCCTGTAATGTCTGGACATTTTCCATTCTTGTTGGAGGGGTATCCACAGACCGGTCACAGAGGGCTTGTTACAGGCTATTGGCTATTGCTTAGATCTGTGTGGTGACACGTTCTAAATGGAACCAAATTCTGTCCCTCCCTTCCTTCCAGGAGGGAGCCACCAGACCCTAGGTGATGGCAGTGTGGCCCGGAGAAGCTATTGCCTGGGACAGCTCTCAGGTTGGGGAGCCACATGCCTATTCATCTTCCCCCCTACCCTGCCCAGGTGTGGGGCAGAGGGATAGGAGGGATAGAGCCCTGGGGAGCAGATAGGAAAGGGTCACACCCAAGAGAAGCAGAGACCAAGAGCTGGCAGGATGGAACTCTCCAAAGCTCCCTGGAGGAGATAAAGGGTAAGAAGTGAGGAGAACCAGGCCACTGTGGAGCCTCCCCACTGTTCGAGCTTATACATTTCCTGCCCTAGGCCAGGACGTGTGCAGGGAAGGGGATTGGGACCTCAAAGGGGAACTAGACCAGCATAATCCCTCCCTCTCCCAGCTTCCCACAACGGCAGAACGGGCCCTTAGCTAACCTCCCCATGTGTGTCCCCCACTGGGGCCAGCCTGAGAAGCCAGACTAGAGGACAAACCTATAGTACTCTGCCTTGCTTTGTCCTTGGCAGACATTACTAGTCAATCACAGCACTCCCGCTTGCTGAACCACCCTCTGGCCTCAAAACCATCCTAAGCAGGCATGACCAGCTGATTGATTGTGGTAGACAAGGGAGATAAAACCTATTTGCTAAAGCCTCAATTCATAGCCAGGCCAGCCATGGCCTCTCTGTCCCCAGCCCTGGCTCATGTCACCCTGGCCTCCTCCTGCCCCCTACTCTGTGCCCAGACATGGCACCCCTGCTTCCACACACTTCCTCGTTCTGTGCCCCCCTCCCTTCTGAAATCATCTGCAGCTTCTGAGGGGTCTTGACCCCAGGAAGTCTTCCCTGCCTGACCTCAGCAGAGTGTGCTCCTTCTCTGATCCTCCAGGTGTTGTCCCTGTTTTCTACCCTCTCCCCACTTAAGGGCAGTTGAGCCTGGAGGGGTCTGGGAGGGAGCCGATCTGGCCAGGGAGTGTGTTGTGTGACTTCACCTGTGTGAGCCCCTGTTATCACTGG